AGTTCCTTTTTTCTCTTTACTCTTTACCTAGAGACTGAAAAATAAAAGCTACTAAAAAATACCAAAACTGAAAAAAATCAAAATTTCAGTCTGAATTTGAGACCAAAGAACTGTAATACTTCTTAAAAGTTCAAGATAAATCGACGAAATAAAATTTTAATAAGCTGGAAAGAACTATGCACTTAAGATCAACAATAGAAATACGAACTTATGTACCACTTGTATATGGTCAATTTCGAGATGGTCTTTGTGTACAATTAAAGCGGTCCCCACCGTGTTTCAAGCTTCAAACAAATAGGTATTGAACTGCAAGTTTTTTATCGATTGTATAGGTCTATAGTTTACGTAAAACTTGAATGTTTTCTTTCGTTATTTTATCTATTTTGGTGCATATATCAAATTTACAAATTCCATTCCCTGCCGAAATCTAGGAAAAGCTTTTTAAAAAAGTATTATACCGATGAAACATTGTTATATGTGTGTTGATGATGTAAAGAATTCGACCAAAATGACAATATGCTTCATTCTCACGCAATATAGTATTCTACAATCAATAGAAAATAGAAAAAGATTACATTTCTCATTTTGTTATGCATAACAAAATACAATTAACTTCGTGATTAGCTGGTTCAAATAATGACGAAATACTAATAATTGTTTATCAAAAATTAAATAGAACTCATGAGCACTATGTGAATGTGGGTGAGATAAAGACTAAAATCCACACCCAATCATTATAGCTGATGATCGTATGTTCATGATCGATTGAGTCAATATATAGATGAAAACGTGATACAATACTGTGTCGTCCTTTTATAATCATTCATTTAAGACTTTGAAGCAAGATTTTTCTATTATGGTATTCGATTTCTGTTTCTAATAGTCATTCGTTTGAAAAAGATATGAAAACTTATTCGTCAATACGTACAAAAGTCAATCTTGTTGAGTTCGAAAATTATCAAAGAATAGGTTGTTTGCTTTGTATTCTTGCTGGTAGTATTCGTGCAACTTTTTCGAGCGATCGAATCTTTCTTAATAAACGCCACACTTTAAACTTCACTATTTTTCTGCAACTTTAAAGACTCAATTTATTGCTGTCTTCAGAATCAATGGGCTCTTGATGAATCGGTGAAAAGTTCAATAAGACATTCATTTTAATCATGATAAATATTTTATTCTCGAAATAAACGATCATTAATAATTCCTGTTCCATGAAAATAATCCTGCTTAAATTACCGAGGACGGTGCAATGCTTAAAGATTTTAATTGCGGAAGTTTTTTTTTCAGGAACGACTGCATGTTTACACCAGTCATCTGTTGCTAAGTAGGCAATGATTTTTACAGTCAATAATCAGATTTTTATTACTTGATTTTTCAGTCTCTAGGTAAAGAGTGAAGAGAAAAAAGGAAATTTCGAATATTCTTAGAATTATTATGATATCATGTTGCTAATCCACTATTGAAATCTAAAGAGAATCGAGAATACTATGTCATGCAGTGAATATAACACCAATGTTAGATCCATCAAACGAATGAAACAGCAGTAAGCTTGAGAGCACGAATTCTATTGAAACTCATGTCTTTAAATGATAATTAAGATATAATTATGTTGAACGATGACCCTTATACCTGATATTCTCAATAACGTTTTCAACAAAAACTTACTGCTTATGTCATGTTAGTTTACGAGCGACAAAAACAGAAGCGAGAGTACATAGGCAATATCATTGTTGCAGAAAAAAGTTCAATCATAAGTAAAAACTAAATTTTACATTGACCCTAATGTTAAATATTCTGTGTTTTTTTTAAACATTCTTTTCAATGAAATAACTTTTGTTGGTATAGAGTAATAGTAACACATGCAAATTGATTGATTTGTTTCACTTTAAGAAGTATAAGCTGATTGAAACTGTTCAATTGAATTGAAATGTCCCATTCCAAGTATAGAAAGAAAATCGAATTTTTTTTTCACTGACTGACATTGTCATGTAATTCTGTTCGTGAGTAAGAATAGTCTACGTTCAAATAATTGATGCGCAATATGTCTTTATCCTGTTTCTTTAATCTCCATGTCAATTATAAATTCGCCATATTCAACTAGATAATTTTATCTATTTGCGTTCTTTTGTGCAAGTGGTGATTTAAGCGTAAATACATAATAGTTAAATACGCATTTGCCTTTCTCTCTCTTCATATTACTAGTATGGTTTGCAATCAATACATCATGCACAATATGCGTTGTTTTGCTCGTATCGAAAATGTGTAAGACACGCCTATTCCTTTTTTTAACTCATCTTGGTAGGAGAAATAAGCATATATAAAAACGGAGAAACATGCAAAAAGAAAGGATAAATTTAACAAGTAGAGCATGGTTTGATGGTTATATTTGTCTCGGTCATGATCAAGTAGCAATTCATAACAATATACGTGCATTCCGCTGTTCTGTTCATTTAATTTTTATTCGCTCCTTTTGCCTATAGTTTTTTTTCTTTATTCAATCAGATTATTTGTTCTTTTAAAACGATATCATTTCAGATCTAAACTTCAGTATTCGGTATGGCTTTATATTTTCTCGTATTGCTTCTCTTTTCACTAGCTGTAAATCAAATCACTTCATCTTCTAGTGAAGAATTAGAGCCGATTTGTGGTAAATGTGTTCGTTATGTCCAAGGCTTTGATATCACCGGAGTGACAAATGATGTTCAGTACACATTCCAATCAAATAAAATTGGAAATCCATGCGACTGTTACAAGAAGTGCCTTGAAAACTTCCAAACATGCGCCAATTGGGTGTGGAAGTTCACGGATAACTCAACTTGTCGCACTTGCACATTATATTCAAATTTCAATCTACCTCCGGGTGTGACAATTGGCTTTGATTTGGCTACATCGGTCAATATTGGTGTGATTGGTGGTGGCTCACCACAGCAAGGTGGTCTTGTTCCTCACTGTCAATATTTCGACAAATTTGGAAATGCTTATGGTTATGACAAATACTGCTTTTCTGGACCACTCTGGGCTCTTGATAATCAACAATTTCTGTGTTAAATATTGACTACAATTTATAGTCCCCAATGAACTTGACTAATTATTGTTTAAAACTCAATTTCGTTCAATATCTTTCTATTTTTCATCATCACATACTAACTACTTTTCGTTTTTGAATACAACTAATATCGTTTCATTAATATCACATTTGATAAATAATGAATAATTAAAATAAAAATATTCACTATATTTACTCTTCAAATAGCTGAGTGAACCCCACCTACTCTCCACGTTATCTTCCTTTTCTTTGCACAATGTATTACACCTGATTTCCTATGCCTATTGTTCCCTCTCTATCTACTTTGTTCCACTTCTTTCCTTGTCAGCTTTATTTTTCCCTCTCTTTTTCAAGTCCCGTTATCTTTCACTCCTTTTGCTTCTCTTCTTTTTTTTCCCATTTGTAAGCGCTTTCGAGTGTTACACAAATAAAGCATTAACAAATTCACTATATTAAGAGAGATTGAAGAAACAATTCATTACTAACCTTGTAAACTGAAGAGTTTATCCATATTTACTCAAGACCTTTTTTTTGCAAATTTGCACATCTGAATCATTACCTGAGCTCTGAGCATACACGGTGAGTGGATCAGTTTTCCAAGATGAAATTGATGAATTGTATATCTGTATATATACATGTTGGAGTTGACTTGAAAATTGAAGAATCAACTAAAATGGAACTAGAGGACTTTTCAGATCTCCTTTCCTGCAAATTTAGCGGGATAATCCGACTAAAAAATCGATCCGATTATTCTTCATTATCTCAGTCGTAATTTGATTTTAATTATTAATCGATTTCAAATAGTAGTAATGAAGTAAACGAACAATCCAAAAAATTATGCAAAATTAGAGTTTCGTGTTCGAATATCGAGAAAAGCGCTAACTCTCCATGCATATGATTAAATTTTTGTTAACAGATAATAAGAAGTTGAAGCCGATTTATAGCCAGAACAAAATTGGAACAGATAATTATTATGTAAAATAAACAGAAAAATCTGACTTTAATGGCGCTTGAACATATGTCGCTAAGTATACAAGTACCATCAACTATAAAATTGGCATTTGGATCGTGTGTCTGTATATGTAGAAAAAAACACGAATAAGTTCTTCACAATGTCATTTTTGTAGTTTCGAAATCATGACTGACAAATTTTTTATCAGCAAATTCATTGTATTTCGCCTAAACTCGCGATTTCTAAAGTTAAACGTTGCACATTTCTATCCTGCTTTTATTACAATCTAAAAAACAATTTAATGCCCTTCTGATTTGAAAACGAATCGTAGTTGATTCTAAAATTGAAAGGTGAACTGATGATATTTTTAAGAACAACTGAATTTTAAAGTCAGCTTCGATATATTTGGTATGATTAGGACTTTAACTGTATTTGTCTAATAGAATCTGTTCTTCTCCACCGACTTGCACAATTTATTAAATATGTTATTTCTCTTTGAGCATCTCACTGTCACACTAAATTTTAGCTCTTTAGCTTTTACTATCGCTGAGTTATGAGACGTGTACTGTGAAAAAATTGTACTTTATAGAGAGATGTGTTTTATGGAAAACGAAATCCTCTAAGAATCAAAGGAAAGGAAAAAAGACAATGAATAGTTCATTTTGTAGACTTTAAAATGTTTTATTGAATTATATATCTTTCTTCGTCTATCTACCAGTTGAAGAAAAGTAAAGATATTTCAGCGAAAGATCACTTCTTGAAAAACAACTTGATAAAAAGACGATCTTTCTCTAAAAGTTCGAGTGTTACACATTTTGTAGATTGAATCTTTTGCAAATTTTCTTACGAATAACTTCCGAGCAACTCATCCGTTTTAAGTCAAATTTTTATCGTAGATATACTTTTTAGAATTGCATAGTTAGTCAAGAATTTAAATGGTCATCTTTTATTGTTCTTGAGAAATTTGCATTATACGATAAAAAGTAGACTAACTTTTTTTAGAAAACATGTAGAACGACTTTCTATAAATTACTTTGTGAGTAATTCATGAAAGGTTCAGTTTGTTTTCATTCAAACTTGTACTAACATTATATTTGTTAGAGATGTATGACTAATAAAAAGTTCAGCTTTATATCTCTTTCTGTTATGGTGAATTTTACAAAATACAATGCAATATAAAAGGATATTATTCATCAAATTAATGTTTTTTATGGTGCTTACATTTAACATTGAAGTTAGTTGTATATCAGCTAATATTTAGTAAAGTGTTGGGAAACTTTTGCTGTTTAAAGTGCAGTAAAATGTAGTGCTCAGAAATTGTTTAGGTCTATTTTCAGTTTTTCGCACGAAAAAGATTCAATTACTCAATATTATTTATTTATTTATCTTGAAAGATTTTGAAACCAAGACATATTTTCTCTTCTTCTTTTTTTGTAATTTATATATATTTGGTCCAAATATAAAATTAAATACCTTATGTCAAGTCTGTCAATAAAAAATTTGTTTTATTTTATTTTAAATATTGATTTGAATAATATAAATAAAAGCATGAACGTATTGTGATTCATTTGTATAATTATCTGCATCTAAGTAACTATCCATTCGTCAGTCAAAAAACGTGGTATTATAGGCTATCCTTCTTTTTGCAGAGAACGGTCTATAAGTATTAACTGATATCATTGAATTTCCTAAATTGAATTCTATCTTATTTTAATAATTTGAATTCATTCTTCCCATTTTCAAACTTCTAAATTATTTAAACGAGGAATACAAGAAATTCTTTTGAGAGCAATATTTGAGAAACGAGAGTACTGATAAATTTACATGTTTATTCTAATTTTGCTTTTGTATCGGTTGATTTATAGAGTTGCATTGAATAAATAGTTTCTACACTTATATTTATGTAAAGATGCTTTAATATCGTTGAAGGAAGCTGACTCTTTATTTACGAACAGTTTTTAGCATTTTTATATAACTGAACAAGATTTTATACAACAATCATTTTATTAGAAATGTAACGACAATATTTGTTTAATGGTAACTGCTGCAAAATTCGTAGAAAACTTCTGAACTGATGATATTTTTCAGTTCACTTGTTAACAAAAGTAAAATGTGAAGTGAAAATGACGGTTTCTTTAAAATTGCTCTATATTGCTACTAACTGGAAGTCAAATCAGTATTGAATCGTTGTATTCGATTATTGCTACAATCAACAACATAGAGATTGCCTTGCTGATCAAATGATAAATCCTGAGGATGATAGAGTTGGTTTGATCGTTTTCCTTGATTATTTTCTCCAACAACCACGATACCTTGTTTAGCCCCTTTTGACCAAAGCATTACTCGATGGTTTCCACAATCTGCCACATATACAGTACCTAACTGATCAACAAGTACTCCACGAGGACGAGACAATTGAGTTAGATCATTTCCTGCACCTTGACCACCAGCAACAACAATCCCTTCTGTTGCACCTTTTATCCACTTCATCACTCGATGATTTTTCTCATCTGATATGTAAACTGAATAATCTTGATCGACAAAGATATAACCAAGGCTATCGAGTTGATCAAGACGATTACCTTGTCCATGACCACCTGCTACTATTGTTTCACACGTATCTCCTATTCGCCATCGTCTTATTTCATGTCTCTCGTGGTCAGCAATGCAGAAATACCTATCATGATCCCTTGTTAGTCCGTAGCACTGAACATCAGAGATGACTGTTTGTCCACATGAGTCATTTCAACGAGGCCATCGCACCACTCGCCTGTTTCCTTGGTCGCAGATAATGAAACAATCTTTCTCTTTATCAACAGCTACATCTGTTGGCTCATAAAACTGATCGATTCGATTTCCTGGACCATTTCCACCCGCCACGATTTGCCCATTTGCTGCTCCATACTTCCATTCTATAAGGCGATGATTAAAAGTATCGGCGATATAGATTGTTTGTTCGTCGTCATCAACACATATGCCCCATGGACTATCAAGTTGACTTAATCCATTCCCTCTTTGATTGCCTCCAGCAATCGTGATACCATCTTGTAACCAACTTGTGTTGCCATTAATTTTTATCATACATGATGCTACTACAATGGGACAAAACCTTATGATTTTAAAAAGTCTTGCTTTTCCTTTACGATCAGCTTCGATATAACTGTGAGAAAAAAAAATGTCTTTGTTTATAGCAAGAGTGTTTCGTTATTCAAAGCTCATTATATAATGCCTCTATAAACGAACAAGTAACGCGACGCAAATGTCGCTGACCCTCTACTGAAAGGATGTGATGTTGCTCAGAGAACCGTATTGCAGGAACAGATTATGAAACCTAGTATTAACAGACACCTTTAAAAGAAAACATTTAAAGGAATAATCTATCAACATATATGCATATGGTCAAATTGCTAAAAAATCAAAACAGTGCAGGTCTGTTATGAAGAAAAAGTTTCACGAATCATCAATCGAGGAACCCTCTACAGAGCCGGACAGAGCATTGATATCTATTAGCTGTTAATATGAGCAATGTGATTAATGTGAGTGATAAGAAAATCCTAATCATGTTGTCTCTGGCAGTTTTCATCATCACTTTTTTGGCTTCGTTTTAGAGTTTATGAGCTAAAACTATCGCACGAAAAAGTTAACTGCTATCTAATTCGTTACTTTTTTTTACTGATAGATGTAAAAGTCAAGCTAACGATGATGTAAAGAATAGTAAAATAAAATCATGTTTGACTTGTATCTCTTGGTATGAGAAAAAGTTCAGACGATTTATGACTCAACTTTGACTTGCCATAGAAGTTTTTTTAATGACCCATGACTTGACTTGACTTGACTTTTTCTTTTTGTGAGGTGACAGCAAAATACAAATCAGATGTATTTTTGCAACTGGAATTTTCAACAGATTTACACAGCGCAAATTTATACGTTTCGTTCTAATGTGAAAGGTCTCTTAATAATACTATAACATAATATTCATCTACAATAGCCATTGCAGCGAATTGTCCAGACAATTGAAAAAAGCCCTCAGAAAAATCCATACCAAAACTCAGGATTATTTTCCTACATATTGAATCGAACAATAGTGGAAAAAGAGAACGTTGACGACATAATGTTTATCAAAGATCATAAAGACCAGACTTGGAACCGGTCGAGTTTTTTCTGACCGGATCGGACCGGCCGGTTTGACATTTTCACCCGGACCGGACCGGCCGGTTTATATTTGCGATTAGACCGGGTAAAAAACCGGCAAAAAACCGGCCGGTTTATATTTGCGATTAG